TAATGTTAATATATTAATAATAAATATCAAGGTTTCATAAATTTAGACTTGGTCCCTATATACTTCTATTTTATTTTATTCCAAACTATAATTGTAATATTTTATTAATTAATGTACTTGTGCCTATTATTATATGCTAATAAATACAAATATCTCCTATATATATATATATATATATAAATTGACTGTTATTCATGAGAACTGAAATTTATTATAAGCTTTGCTTAATTATTGTTTTTGCTGTATGTTATGATCATGCCGTTATTTTACTTGTGTATTTGGAATGGAAAAATGGACAGGGTGTGTGTGTTTACTGGGCATTTCAAGCTCATGGCGTTTTATGCCAAGTGAAGGCGAGTTTTACACCAAGAACGGAATCCCTAAAAGCTTTGAGGAACCATGGCTGCCTTAGAGATTAGATTTTATATTTCCTGTATTTTGGATAATCTTTTTGTATTAAGAAACTGATCTATATTTAAAGGCTTGAAGAATTTTATCTATAACTATTATTAATATTTTCTTTTAGTGTAATTATTTGTATTTTGTGCTTAAAAATGTTGTGTATCCACTAGTTAAACCCCGGTGTATCGTTGTATTATATTATCGATGTTTCCAAAATTTGGGGTGTCACAAAATGCCTCCTAGGTGTGCTCAATTCGATTCTTGGCATACTTCAACCACTGCCCGACCTCCCCTTTTAATTGATAGGCTGCCAATGCCACCTGAAGCTCACCCTCATGAATGTCCAAGATCTCAAAAGATTTGACTACCTATTCTAACCACTCATCTACTTTCATAAGGTCGGGACCGCCACTAAACTCGGTGGGGTTGGAACGGAAGAATTACTTCTTCAGAAAAGTAGTTCTAGTCTCTCTTTCTACGTTCCTAGCCACTTGTTGGGCTCTTAATATGTCCATGTACTCTCTAAGAGCCCCTGTCATCTCTCAGGCCAAAACCTCTATTGCATCTTGGACCGGTTGGACGGCCATAATCTTCTTAATGAGGGATCTCTGTCGGAGCCGGAATATCCTGACAATCCCGACGAGGTGTACCACAACCTCTACCACGTCCTGACATCCTATAAGAAATAGAGATAGAATTAAATTCGTGACTCACCTTTCCACAATCTCACCCGTACCACATGCACTAGCATGAGACCATACATACATTTAAATCACATTGAGCAAACCACATAAGCACCTTGTCACATAGAGCACATACGAACCATCCCTCTAAGATATCAACAAGTTCCACAATGCTCAAAGATTTCCAAGTGGAAAAAGTATTGGTCAAGTGCCGTTCCAAAAGGACTTCAATGAGTGCAGTGAATCCAAGTTGTATCCTAGAAGTTTGATCCCATACACACATAGTCACATAAACACATAATCATGTTAAGAAATTAACATCCTTGCCTAGCATGGCAAACCCGTTATGCTTCTAGCCACTTCCCACAAGCACAAGGTATTCAAACCTGGTTAGCTCTAATACCAATTTGTAACACCCCCAAATTATTAATCATAAAACATTACTCACAATATAATAAATGTTAATCCATTCATCACCAACCAACAACATTAATCCAGTACCCTCTTTCTCATTGAACTATTACTTCAAAAATACAAATTTCCATGTTCAGTTCTTAGTTACATCAACATTAGCATAGTTCAAGAAGTTAGAGGAGTTAATACAAAATGCCGCAGTGGCTCACAAATATCAAGGCCATGCCTTGTTACAACAAAATGGTCTCACGGTCCCAAAACAATAATGCTTAGAGCTCCCACAAAATACATCAATGAGAGTTCACGCTCCGGTCAACACAAAACTTCCACCTCCTTCTCATTGGGGCGGTGGCCACAAGTCCTAAAATGTTAGATAGGAATGAGCTAGATACCCATTAGAAAAACTTTTAACAAAGTATCTAGTTATTTAGAGATCCATATGGCATCATCATCACAACCCAAAACATATTTAATTCAACTATTAGTGTTATTATAAAAGGGAATACAAGAATCCACCATTTCCATAAAATTTGATAATTCCAAACTGAGGGTAAAAAAGCCATTAAGTCCTTAAGGAGAGTCCCTATACATACATATAACTAGGTTCGTAACCAAAATATTCCCACATTTGTCGGCTGTTAATACAGCTGGAAATGGACACCTAAAATCATCTCTTTTTCCACTTTTACCAACTACAACACGGCAGGACCAGAGGACACCCAAAAATGTTTCCCATATCCGTCCGGTGATAAGTTCAAGACAGGGCAATTGGGCACCTAAACTTCCCTACGCAGATACCAACACAACACAACTATTTTTCTAAAAACTGACTCTCTACCCGGACTCACATGCTATTTACCTCCCCCCATAACAATTTTTCTGAAGTTTCCAAGTATTCATACATTCATTAAATTAAAAGTAATCTTTCACATCCAAGCAATTATGGCAAAAATAAAGTGAGGATATCCAATATCTCAAGAAGATTTCAGATTTACAATTCTCCATTCAAATACATCTTTATTATCGTAAGCCAATCATCAATCTAAAGAATTAAGAGTCAATTTCACTTTATTACATCATTTCTAAAATTTCAAAATTAGGGTTTTTATAAGATTTGGGCCTTTTTCCCCTCCACTATATATAATATTAATTTTCATCAAAAACTTCCATAATCCATGGCTAAAAGTAGAAATCTTAAGAAAATTGTAGGGAAGGTACTATAGGGAAAATACTATTTTTGAAAGAAAAACTTCATTTTATAACTTCAGCATCCATCAACTCAACAATGTCATGGCAACGCCAAATAATCATTTCCAAATCAAAGAGATACAAAGTTAAAAGTAGTCATACCTTAAATTTCAAGACCAAAAAGATAGATAATCAACAAACTCTTCGCGAAATCCCAATCCAATCAGTAGAAAGCTTAGTCCTTACTTAAACTTCAACTTTATCAACCAATGGGTTTGTGAATCTAAGTAGAAATGGAAGATTTCTAGAGAGAAGTAGCTAATGGTTTTGGAGCTAGAGAGAGACGAAAGAAGAGAGAAAAGAATAAGTGAAGAAAATGATCTAAAAGTCACTTTTTAGGTGACTGATATCGCGCAGACCACTCGAGCGGTGAATGAGATTTCTCAGTATCCCTACCTGCAAAATGAGATACTGAGAACCCTCTCATCTTCGCTAGAGTGACCACTTGTTCCCTCGACCAGTAAAACAAACTACTGGGAGCACCTTAGCTCCGCTCGAGCAGTCTTTCCACTGTTTGAGCGGTCACCCAAAACAAATTGTCACAATGAAAAATGGGTTGAAAGTGATTAAGACGGATTGACTAGTATGAGCCCAAAATTGGTATAGTGATCCATACGGTTTTAGATCATGGTCCATCTTAGTGTATTTATTATTTTATGTAGCTATGTGGTATGGAGGTGTAATGCCTATTCCAAGTTATTTGGGCTCCTTAATGGGAGGGCCTTATGATTATTTTATTTAGGTCCGGTCCCCTCTCCTATCTTATTAGGGTTTATATATATTTTTATATAAGTGGGTCAAAAGGTTGTCAGCCCCATTCAAAGACAACATAAAGATTAGGAGAAGGGGGGGAAGAGTCGTTGTTAGGATTTTCCAATTGTGAAGACCATTCCTTAATATCTCATAGTGATGACGAGATTAAATGGTATATATTAAGTCCTAGTTTGGGAAGACTAAATAAGTGTACTTTTTGACTTTTTATGAAATATGGGTTGGGTTTGGGTTGGGTTTGAAGTGATGTGTTAGAGAGGTGATGTGACTTAAATAAGATGATGTGACTTAAATAGGAGTGACTTTTTGACTTTTTGTCTTTTTTCAATCATGCCAAACTTGGCCTAACTACAACAAAATCATAAATAGATCACATTTTTTATGTGTGATGTATGTTATTTAATCACACGAAAGTGTGATCTTTAAGAGTGATTAAAAAGAGTCATTTTTAATCACACGTTTTGAGTATTATTAAAAGATAATTTCATCACACGTTATGCGTGTAATAATAAATATTTAGATCACACTTTTTAAGTGTGATAATAAACATTTAGATCACACTTTTTATGTGTGATGTATAACTAATAAAACCTGTGATAATAAATATTTTAAACGTGATTAATATCTAATAAAACATGTGATTAATAATGAAATAAGATTACACGTTATATGCATTTCTCATCACAGTTAATGCGTGTGATAAAAAAGAGTTCAATATATTTGAAGAATAATCAATATTATTTTTGTACGCATTTGAAGAATGTAATACACACTATATATTATCCTTTCAATCACAATCACATATTGAATGGAATAATGTTATATTTCATAAATGAAAGTTGAATGTTCAAAAGTACATACAAAGGAATTAATAAAAAATAAAAATAAAAAATTTAACTATGATTACATATATTAAAAAATGAAAAAATTTGAAGCACAAAATTATTGAATTCTTTGACTATATTTTGCATCTCTCCAAACAATTTTTGATCTAAAAAATGAAAGCACAAATTAATTTAGAGGCAAAATTTGCCTCTTCTTTAGAAATAATTTTGGGCTAAAGGCAAAATAAAGGCAAGAAATTCACAAAGATGTGTGTTTGGAAATAATTGAGATAATGTGGTTATTATGCTTTACGCACTTTGACTACAAAATAATTTCTGGGTAGTGGCACATGTGAAAGAAGAATAAAAATTGGATAGCCTTTGATTAGAGATATCCCAACCCACATTAAAAAATAATCTAATAGAACAAGCTATATCCCAAAATCTTCGAAAGTTGGGCTGGTTATCCATCCAAGTATAAAAATAAAGAAGGTAATCCAACCATAAATGAAAATGAATGAATCAGCTAGGCAACTCCAACACAATTAAGGTCAATATCAAATGAGGACCCAAATGACATACCCAATATAGTTGTGGACCTTTGTCATGAAAGCCAGCAACTAGCAGTCAAACACCAAAAGGCCTTACACCACTACACAAGAAACAAAAAGGTAAGAAATTGCAACAAAAATAATCATTTGCAAGAGCCAAGATCAAATCCATGGTATAAAGAAAACAATAGATGAGGAACAGAAAAAAGGTGCATGCACACACTCAGCAACAAAAGCAAGTAAGGGAATGAAAAGAAAAAAACACTCCAAAAATTTAGAGCTCCCAACACTTGACTCATAACAATGGACTCCCTTAACAAAAGTACCAGCATATTTAAGTACCTGCATATAAACACTTAGAATAACAATATGGTAACTCACATCACTAGGCCTATAGCCTTACACACTCACACATATATCTAAATATATACCCACAAACACTCATCCCTCCATTCCTAAAGGTAGGCCAGCTTGTCAACCTGCACAACAAATAATTAGGCATAAAAATATCACTAAAAAGTGTCTGCTCTCCATCACTCGACCCTCAATTTGTAAACTCACCACACTCAAACTAGAGATAATAAGCTCCAACACTCAAAGAGTGTTTGAACCTACTACAAAGAAGAAAGAAACAATTAATAGATCAAATAGGGGTGCCTCTTTAAGGATTGAGACTGGAAGTCTCCATGTTGACAAAAAACCAGAGAGTGAGAGAAATATAGATCAGACTTTTTATGGTCGATGATGCAGCAGGCGATGAAAATATATATCTGCAAGCTTCACCGCATAGGTAATCGATGCTCCAATTTTTTTCTTTACTGTTGATCTTCAATCATAATAACAAAGACCAGTTCCAATAGTTCCACAAAAATAATCTTTATGCAAAAAAATGAAGGCCAAAAGTAGTAATTATTAACTCCCTTTCTTTCCTCTCCAAATCTCTCATCCAAAAGAGTAATTTAGGAGAAGATACTATTTTATTTTATTTTCTCTTCAAATCACCCCAGCCAAATGAAAAGGGGTTTAGCTCTAATATTATCATTGTAAGCCAAGCAATCATAGCAATAGAAGCAACTGCAGAAATAGGCTCCTTCTGTTTCTATTCACACACATCAAAAGGTTGATCACATAAATTTACTAACTAAAGCATTGGCCTTAATGTAAGACAATATAATAAGCAAATTTTCAATGTAACAATAATTGTGTAACAAAGCTTTGGTCTTTGACCTTTCCAAAGTAACCATAATCTCAGTTTTTGGCTCCCAAATATTATGAACTTGTTATCATGTTTGATCATTTAAGTAAAGTAATATTTGGATCTTGTAACAACTATACAATCTAATAATTGTCAATTTATCAATACGAGTATCTTGCAGAACATGACTCAATCTCAGAAGCACGAACACTTCAAAGAAGGTGGAATTTATCAATATGAGTATCTTGCAGAACATGACTTAACCTCAGAAGTACGAACACTTCTAAGAAAGTGACGTGTCCATGTTGGGCACATATTGGACAATGTTTTTTATGTGTTCATAATTTTTTTTCAAAAAAAAAAAAAAATCTTAATTTTGAATATGTATCCGACACTCATTTTGCGACATGTCCGTCTCTTCTTGGGCATGTGTATCACTAAAATATAAACATGAGATTAGCACTTCTTGTACATTTGCTAACGTATGATATTCAAAATTAAAGCATTTGACATAAATATCTTGTACTCTTAAAAAATGTACAATTCTTAAAAATATGCAATGTATATAACAGTTGGAAAATAAAAAAGAAGTACAAGTAGATGGCAGGGGATAAGAAAATGATGCAATTATATATGATTGTTAGATGCAAGATCTACTTACATATGTAACTATATAATATAATATCAACATTCAATTGTGTGTGACATGCCCGAACCATGTGGGTGACATAAATTTTAAAAAATTTCCATGTCCCATATATGTGTCTATACTTCCTAGGTTAACCACATTCAAATATATATCATCCTCTTGTGTTGGTAAGATTCTATGTTGAATTAGCAATGAATGAAAATTCAACTCGGAGACAATCGTTAATCAAAATTTGAATTAGAACCTCAAATCCCTGACAAAGGGCATGAATTCTATGCTGGCTAAATAGCAACATAAACTTCAACTTTTTTAAATGATCATCATCATCATAATCAATCCTATTATTCGTAACAAGATATTAGGCATTAATATAATTCTCCAATTATCCAGAATCGATCATACCAACACAGAATCAAAAAAAAAAAGAAGGCAAATCACGAACCTTGCGATCGACGAACTTGAGGAGTTCGATAGGGACGTCATGGAACTTATCGTAGACAGGGCCAACGACAGTCTTGATGGTGCCTTTGACGGTGCCTTCAACGATCTCAACACTAGGCTTCAGAGGCCCATAGTTGTCCTTGGCATAGTGTCACGGGTTGCCTTGCAAGGCTAACTCCGTGACGTTTCGCTCGCGGTGGTGTGGCCATTTGAGTGCTCAAGAGTGGCCGTTGGAAGTGCCCCAACGTGGCCTAACATTGGCCCCAAGTAGCCCAAGGCATGTATGCCACCAATAGCCAACACAAGACAAAGCCACAGCCCATATAAGTCAGTATGACTCCTCAGACATGTATGATGTTTCCTCCTTCCAGATGAAGAAGGGCTTAACAAGCTACTATAAGGGGGTATGGTGTGCTGCCTACCAACCTCCCCGTCCAAACTGGACTTGAAGTGAGCAACCTTGGGGCAACTCAAGGGCGGGCTGTAGGCATCCAGAGGGGTGTCTAGAGTCTCCATGTGGGTTTGGGAGCCCCGTGGACGGTGCGAAGATGTAGGCACTGCGCGTCTCTTCCGAGGGAGAGGTTCACTACGTTGTTTCCATTATGCCACGCAATATGGTATCTTTGGGACTCGTCTTGGACCGAATGGGCTATCGAGGCACCACTAGAGGCTTCGTGTGCCAACTCTAGTGCTTGGTTTGGGTTCGACCTTGCACGAGAGGATCCCGTGGCTTAAGCTAAGCGGTTGGAAGGCGACACCGCATGTGTGGGCTATCGAATGAAGGCATCAAGCTATGCAACGACTACGTCCACTGAGGGACTACATTATGCTACGAGCAAGCTACGGATTGAGACATCGCCTTACTCATACTACACGTTGGTGCAACGCTAAGGTGCGCAATGGCCTTGGGCGGAATCTAGCACGCGTGTTGGCACGAGGACTACGCCGTGGGCACGAGATTGGCCCTCGGTGGCTTGTGGGCTTCGCATGACCAAGCGGCCATCCAATATGCATCTATTGAGGCATGCTAGACCCTGCGACACTTCGAGATGCTATTAAAGACCCAACGTGCAACGTTGGCTTGTCAGCTAAATTGAGGACCTTCGCTAGCACATTGTTGTGTGGCTAGGCGCCTTGATGACATAAACCTAAGTTGGGCGAGCACCTTGCTTGAAGTAAGCTTGGCGCTATGAAGCGACTTATGCCGTGCTTGGGGCACTTGAGGCATCAGGCCTACTTGTGGCATCCGGGTGAAGACGGAGCTTCCTTGTGAAGTTGTTTTGCTTGACAAAGCATTGGGACCTAATGTTCAAACGGGTGAGATCATCAACACTCGATTTGTCAACGAGCAATGGCGGGCTTAAACTTGGTGGGGTTTGAGCGCCACACAGGCAAAAATTGATCCGCTGCGCCTCTAAAGGAGTCGGCCTGTGACACATAGTCATACAACCTCGCCAAGCACATCAAAACGTGAATTGTAGCAACTTGCACGAACTCCAAATACTTCAACCTTTCTTCTTCCTCTCTCTCACCCTAAACACAAACAACAATAACACAACATAATTAGAAATCTAATCAACAAAATCATAAACATCAAAATCGAAATCAATCAAATTGATAAGGAATTGAAGTTGAATTTAGGGATAATTGATCGTACCATTTGGGGTTGAATGTTTAGGAGATCTGATTTGGCCATGCCTGTGAAGATGTTTTTAGAAAAGGTTACGATATATATATATATAGAGAGAGAGAGAGGTGATTCCAGAGACCAGAGATATGGTTGTTTCATAGATAGCAAACTAAGAAAACTAAATTAGGGCTAATGAATTAGAAAGTGAGGCAAGGAGAAATGGAAAGAAAGAGTCTGTGATTAAAATATGTATATATATATAATGATAAATATAATTAACGACATGTTAATTAGAAAGTGTGATTAATATATATATAATCATATTTAATTAAAAAATGACATAAAAAGTAAATATTATCACACTTAATCAAATCAAGTGTGATTAAAATATCAATTTAATTTTTTTTCATCACACTTTTAATAAAAGTAAGATATTTTTATTTATCAAAGTATGATTTTTAACTGTTTTTGTAGTAGTGATTTAAATCTATTTTAATTGTTTAGTTTAATCAAATTATTACAGTGTTTTAATTCCTGACATATATATCCTGCAATTCTTACACATTGAATATATCCCAATCCAACTAAGGCAACGCCCGAAAGACAATAGGGCCCAAAAAGAGTGTTAGCCCAAAATGGATCTTAAGTTAGGGCGTAAGGTTCTGAGGATAAAAGATATTGTGCCTGTTTGGCAGAAATTATTTACAGTTTATTTCAGCTTTCAGCTTAATTTAAGTTATTTTGATGTGTTTGGTTTAGCTTATAGCTTATAACTTATAGCTTTGTGGAAGTCATAAATCAGCTTATTCTTTGAGTGGGGCAGGAGATGCTTTAAGAATAAGCTGGAAATCAGCTTAAGCTGAAAGTTATAAGCGATAAGCTGTTTAGGCATAAGCTATAAGCACTTTCCCACAGCTCTACCAAACAGGGCTAATAATTCTTCTAAAAGCAATATCATTACAAGTAACACAGATCGCTAGATTATGTCCCAATCTAATTGATAAAAGTTAATAGCAAAAGAGCTACGGAATAGACTAAATCTAACAGACAAGAGAGTCGTTTGATCATTCTCTATCCAACGATCATCATGCAATGCAACTTGGCCACTATGATCTAACATCATTTTCACTATCTGATGAGCATGGATCCGACGATCAATAACAAAAGCAAGTTGGCAACTTGCCCAAGTGACTCTGATAAGGACAGAACCTTCCGATCAGAAGGGAAATAGACGATAACAATGAGAACCAAGTAGCTATAAAAAGGAAATCAGATAAAGCACAAAGGACAGCTGTAGACACCCCATTTTTGACCGACCCCAAGACTTGGACGTCATCGGTTGTGTATTCGATGATTATGATTGCATGTGCTCGTTTTAGTGCCTGAAGTCCTCGGTGAAATGCCATGTCTTTGACCCTTTAAACCTTATCCATTCTATGCCTTGTTTTGGACCAAAACCTTAGTGCTTCAAAACTCAAGACCCTGGGACCTGCAGGCCATTATTGGTGGCCTCCCGGCCATCAGTGTCTTTTTTCAGATATTTTGTTGACAGTTGTTCCAACTGTTATCACAATTGGCTGCATCTCCCTACACATGTATGGAGGGATGTATCTCAGCCAAATGCATGTTTTTCTATATGTAAGGGGTCTCCTCTCCCATTTTTGAGGGTTAGAATTTTGGGAGAAAAAATTATCTCTCTCTCTCTCTCTCTCTCTCTCTCTATATATATATATATATATATTTCTCTCTCTCTTTCTCTTGCAAGTTTGTGCATAATAGCTTAGATACACCACACTTTTGCTTACAGCTCCTTAACCAAAGTTGTTCATCTTTGAGCTAAGGTTCCTTGAGGCCTTCTTGGAGCTCTAGAAGGTGGTCTTGGCTTAAATTGTTGTCTAAAATTGGTCTTTGCTTCAAAAGGTATAATACTTGCGTTTTAAACTTGCTTTGCATACTTGTTTTCTTATCTTTTCCACTGATTTTGGGTTGTTTTTGGGCTATAAAACTCTATTTTTGTGGGCTGGAATTTGTGATTTTAGGCCATTTAAGGTCAGGGGGTGGTTCATCCTTATTTCTTCCTTGTTTGTAAGGCCTTTCCATATTTGTTTACCACTTTCAAACCATCATTTTTTGGGCTTTTGAACATTGAATTTCAGAGTATTTTTAGTGGTGAAAATCGTGTTTTGAAGTCCAAATTTGGAGGGGTTAGCCTCCTCTCTTTGTGCCTTGTTTGCTAGCCTAGATAGCTCTATGTGTTAGCTTATTTTTCTAGCCTTTTATTGCTCAATTCCAGCATGTTTTAACCTCTGTTTTGGACTGTTTTTCCTCTATTTTTGGCTGGTTGTTGCATTTGAGTCTTATTTTGCATGCTTCTGGTGTAGGTGTCCTCACAAGCTTGGTGTTTTAGGCCTTTAGACACCACTTGTTTGAATTGATTGCATTGTTTTAGCCCTTTTCTCACTTAATTTCAGCAAGCATAATCTCTGTAACCTCCCTCATTTCTTGACTCTTTGTTTGCTTTGAGGGTTGTTTCAATCTTAGGATTGTTTAAGCTTGAGATTGAGGTTCATGCTTAATTGTTTAATCCTCTTTTGGTGGTTCATTATCAATGGCATGACACCTCTCTCTTGCCTTAGACTACCCTTTGTTTAACACTTCCTTCTCTTTTAGAGGACTTAATTCACCAATGGACTTAATTGGTTAAAGAATGGAAGGGTAATTAAAATAAGTAACCAAAAATGGAAACTAAAATTGTGCAAGATAAGAATTTGGTTGTGTTTTGGTGTGTTGAATCGAACGTTAATTGAACACAAGAAAAATTGGGGCATTTCATACTCAAAGTGACGAAATGTGCCAATTTTTCTAAGGTCACCATTGCCCTTGATCATGCATGATAGGGTGAAGGTTTGGCGTCTTGTTTGCGCATTTATTAACTTGTACACCTTGGTTTTTTAGCCATCATGCAATGAAATTGCTTGATTGATAGTCTTTAAACCAAGTATATCACTCATTTTAGCTTGTTTTGATGATAAGGAGGGATACATTGTACAAACAACTTATGAGAATACCCTCTCTTTGCTCTGTTTGCTCTATGTTGCAGCAAGAAATGATGCATCATCAGTGGCCGCCCGATCACTGCTTCTGGTCCATAGGCCATCACTGTTGGACGGCAACCCCTTACTGGTGGCCGGCCGGCCACCAGTGAATTTTGAGCAGAATGTTTATAAAGTAGAGCAGAGTTGATCTGGAAGAATAAAACCAGTGCAAGGGTTGTGCAATAAAGGCCTTTGGGAGCAAACAGTGGACGTTCTTCAGGTGGAAACCGAGCATGCATTGGGCCTCCCTCGTTCTAGGGACCAGTTAGCGATAGTTAATTCATGTTGTAATTAATTAGTTAACTAGTTTAATTAGTTGCTTTGTAATTAATTAGTTAAAATAGTTAGCTAATTAGCTTCGTATTGTACTTATTTAATTAGCTTAAAGTAGTTAATTAAATTAGTTCATTATTGTTATTTAATTAATTAGCTTAACATAATTAATTATTTAATTGTCGTACTATTTAATTAGCTTAGACAGCTAGCTTATTTATTCAAGTTTTGTAATAATTAGTTAAGTAGTTTAGCTTAGCTAGTTTATTCATTCGGACCCTCCTGAGCGAGGGCATCAATGTTGTAATAATGTGTATGTCTTCCAACCCCACGTCTTTCTCCTTTTTATTTATCCGCTTTTGATGGTTAGGTTAGGGGCATCACGTTTCAATTAGCATATCGCATGTTTTTATCCATTCATTTGTCTTGCATACATTGAGGCTCGGTTCATCAGTCAAACTCGCATTGTCGTTTATTACTTCATTGAATACGTGTTTAAACGCATGCTATAAAATTGTTGCAAATAACATGTTAAGTAGCCGAGCCTATTTTAGTTGTATTATTGCATGTGTTGCATTAGCCATCTTGTATAGTTAGGTGTCATGCATATTTTTCTAACTCTTTTGTTTTATCTTAGCTTGGAGTACTAAGTGAGTTTTTAGTGCTTTAGCATACTTGCATGAGTGTGAGTGACTGCCATGACTAGCACGCTTCCCATGAGGCTAAGTGCTTACTTGTTAAACTGTTTGAGTGCCTGTGGATGAAGGCTTGTTGCTTGAATTGGAATGATTCAATGAATGTACATTTAAGCCCACTTTGTCAAGTGACAAATTCGCAAACTTTAAGCCCGCTTTGTTATGTGGCAAAATCAAACCCTTTTTCGAAAAGCAAACATGAAATTGAATTGTTCCAATTTGGGCAAACTAGTCTATATCTTGTATGCACGCATCACAAAGTAAATGCTAGCCTAATAAACTGAAACAAGAGCATATAATGTTGATAAAAATCATATCAAGATTAGTAGAGGCCGATCTTTGATCGGGCGAGCGGGGGTGCTTAATTCATGACCTTCCCCTCTCGTACCTAAGTTCCCAAGCCGAGACAATCTTTGTGATGACGGATACGTGGCCTTTGGCACGAGTCATGGGTTTCCTAAATTTCCAAAAAATATTTAGGTGGCGACTCTGTATCTGGCAAAGTAGTTCATTTTTGGCAATTTGATTCAAAATCGATTTTCCAAAAGATTTCCCGGATTTGGACTCTTTGGTGATTATCTATTTCGCATTGCACTTGTGGAATCAGATTCAGAGCTGCGGGAGTCCGAACTGTAGGCCTTATTTTGAACTTCCGAAAAGGGAGGCGCGAAAAAGTCGAGCTACAGTTTCTGGTGACTCTACTGGGAAAATTAGAGAACTTGACTTGAAATTCATGATATGAAATTTTATCTACACTTATATGTTTCTTTGCATTGCATTTGCATTGGTGTGTTTAAGTCACTGTGTTTACCATCTGCTATTCCTGGACGGTTTTCTGGAGGCTTCCCTGAAAAGCTTGCCAAAGGCTGACCGGTCACAGGCTCTGCCATGATGGGGACACACCCCTTGGATCTAGACTACCGCTGTACCATTTGATCCTCCCTTCACTTTTCAGTGTTAGGAGTAAGAGATATATTAGGTAGTCTTGCCAAGGAACCCTTTTCAACCATTTGGCCTAGTTGCATATCGAAAGCCATAAAGACTGTTCCAAATTAGGACATGATGCTTACCCGAATGCAGGATTATGTGGAACGGCTTTGTTTGAATAGTGAACCCATGCTCCTGAAGAAACTAGGATAAGGCAATCCTAT